GTGCCCGGGAGCCGGGATTTCAGCCGCCGAGCTGTGCCAGCGGCGCACCTGGGGAAGGGGCTGGCATCTGCCAGGCCAGTGGGTCTGGCAAAGCGCAGTAACAGACACGGGAGCTCCGCTCCTGGCTGCCTTCCCCCTCCCGGCTGCTCCCGGTTATCCCGGGATCGGGTACGGCCCCGCTGCAGCCCGAGAGGTCGAAGCCTGGTAAGGCTGGCTTGCAGGCAGGCTCTTAGGCCCAGTGGCTCTGTGATTTAAGGGTGTGAATTCTGGCATGCAGACGCGTCTTTAAGGCCTTTATCTCCAGTCACGCACGCTCTGCGCTGCGCAGCGGCAGTGCTGCGGCGGGCAAGGGTGCCCGTCTTGCCTGCGGCCTGGCAAGACACGGCCTGCGTTCGTAAAGCTGAGGGCCAGGCTGGGGGTCCCCATGGCACGTGCTGCCAGGGTGCCTGTGTGGGCTGCAGTGCCAGAGCCTCAGGAGGGCACAGAGGGCACACGACTGCGCTGTTTGAAGTTGATACCGAAAGCAGGTTTCTGTCAGGAGAGGGAAGGTGAGATGCACTGTGACTGTCTGTTCTCTTACCGCAGTACATCGCTGTGCACATCATACCTGACCAGATGATGTCTTTCGGGGGCTCCGCTGACCCTTGCGCGCTCTGCAGCCTTTACAGCATTGGCAAAATCGGAGGGCAGCAGAACAAGACTTACACCAAGCTCCTGTGTGATCTGATCTCTAAGCACTTGCATGTATCTGCAGACAGGTAAGGCCAGGACATGATGTTATTAACCTTGTTTATCTGGCTTTCTGAAACTGCTTTGAAAAGTTTATTTAAAAATACAGAAAGCCAGGAATAAGTCCATGTGTTTGTGAAAAGATAGTGATTATTTGCAGTGTTTCCATGTCCAGTTAAGAGTTTGATGCCTGCCTCTCTCCCTTGAGAGTCTCTGTTAAATGGCTTCCTGTTCTCAGAGTAGGAAAAAAGTCCCAGAGGACCGACAAAGTTGTACAGCGTGTCTTTTGCCTGGGAGGTGTGATGTCTTGTCCTCTGGTGATGGGAGGCTGAAAGCACAAGGCAGGAGCAGTAACAGGCTGGCACTGACAGGCAAAGCTGAAACCAGCAGGCTGCGGAGCCTTGGGAGAGTACCTGCATGCAGTGGCGAAGGAGATAACAAATCTGGCTGACACACTGAGCTTGGAAGGGAGAAGTGCAGAGCCATTCCCGAGGGCCTGCTTGGCTTTCGTAAGGCTGCCGGTCTGTTTGACACGTGTGAAGGAGTGCAGCGCTCAAACAAAAAGGTTTTGATCTGTGGAAATTGTTGACAGGCTGCTAACCAAGAACTGTCTGGTGTCTGGACAGTCCCTGACTGAAGAAGAGTTTGTATTTTAAGAAAGGAAAAAAGTGTAATTCCAGGGACTCTGAGGCATACTGACTGATTGGAGGCTCTGCTAGAGAAGTTAGCTAGATTTCAGTAAAAATGAAGCTTGAAATGAGAAGCACTGTCCTTTGTCCTGTTGTCCTGTCTTACTCATTATTCACATAAATGAGTTAGTAAGGTCATTGTTTGTATCTTCCTGTGCCTCTTCTGCAGGGTGTACATCAACTACTTTGACATGAACGCTGCCAATGTGGGCTGGAATGGCTCCACCTTTGCGTAGAGCTCTCCTGCGTCTGAAGAAGCTGCTCCTGGGCCTGCCCTCACCCTGCCCCTTCCAAGAGACCACCGCACAAACGGCCCTGCGTTGCGTTTTGTGCACTCTCACAAACGGAGGGCTCCCTGCTAGTGTGTTTAAATACTGCTGCTTCAACATTCCTCTGTTTTCTCTGTATGGAAAACAAATAAAGATTTAGAAGTAAGCTGTCTGGTGTAGGCTTTGTCAGGTTGGGGATGGAGTTGAGCAATCAGCAGCGTATCTCATTTGCTGATTGCTGAAGTAAACGAAAGGAATGCTTTGGGTTTGTTTCTGTTTCTCAGACATGATGTTTCACAGTATGGTTGTACTGAGTGGCAGGTGCCTGACAGTGCTCCAAGGTGATTGTTACCTTGCTGGGCTCCAAAGGCTGCAGGTGCATTCAGGGCTTACTATTGCTCTGGGTTTGTTTTTGGTTTTTTAGTTGGTTTTTTTTGGCTGTGTCCTCTTCTGCTGCAGCAGAAGCCATCCTTGGGCCAGCCCTGTGCCTGCTGCTTCAAGGAGGCTTTCCCCTAACAATGTGGCAGCCGTGTGGGGCCAAGCAAGGAAGGAGTCAAAATGCTGCTTTCCACATGGCTGAGGCGGGCTCCCTTCGGGCAGCTGGCGGTGGCTCTCAGTGCTGTGGGAGCTGCGCCGGGCCCTGCGGTGCTGAGGGAAGCCTCGGTGCCGGCCTGTCCCCGCAGCGATGCTGTGCTCT